TAGATGTGTATAAGAGACGAAAATAATAGTTTTCTATAGAAAAGAAATTATAACAGCGTTACTCTCTATAGAAACACTTGTTATTTTCTATAGAAATGCTGTTAATTTCTATAGATTCTTATAGAGAATTAAGCCACTTTTCTTTAGAAATTGTATAGAAATCCTTTAGAAATTTTATAGAAATCCTTTAGAAATTGTATAGAAATTTTTTAGAGATTGTATAGAATGTTTTTATATATTTTCTATAGAATTTGTTTGCAATATTCTATAGAACTTATATAAAATTTTCTATAGATACTCTATAGAATACTATATAGAAAATCTATAGAATTTTCTTTATAGAATTCTATAGAAAATTTTTGTATGGGAATATATAAAAATATAGTGAAATACAAACAATAACAATCAAGGGTAACAAATCGACAATATTGAGAGTCCCTAACTAAAAGAAGGCCATTGGATTTAAACGTGAGAATACTGTTAAAAAGTATGTCAATAGTAGTATCGTTACGTGTAATGGTACTATAGTTTTAGGAGAGTCTGTGAGTAAAACCCTTTTTACTAGCATTGACCTGAATAAGGGGCACAGAGAACAAGTCAGTGTTATGTGAATTTGGTCTATGTATTTATATACATAAATTTATATACAGTAGCGTAAATACAGATAAAAGAGGGAAAGCGAGTTAAAACATTTAAAAAGGAAGACCATATGAAACGCGCCCCTTCTAGTGTAAAGTGGTAAGAGATTAATAGGACCATTAACGTTGTTATAATTAATAAAATACATAAATTTGGATTGAACTCGTTCTATTTGATTGAGAAATACATATAGAATTATAAATCCTAGACGAAAAATCAAAAATTGGTCTAACAAGAGAAATATAAAGATAAAGTTTGGTGTTACTGTCAAGCTCTTTACAGTGCCGCCAAAACATGCCCAGCATCCCATTGCCTTGGATAAAATATAGTCGACCTTTGCGAAATCCATGTTGCACATTGGTTAAAATATTGAATTGTTCAAAATGAGCCATCAAATGGTGATGCAGAATGTGTTCCAAGATCTTGCAAGGAATTGAAGAGAGAGATCGGTCTATAGTTAGAAGGGTCCATTCTTTCCCCTTTTTTGTACAGAGGCGTTATTGGCTTCTAACCATGCTTTTGGCAGGGATCCAGATTCAAGCGACTTCAGAAAAATGTTTGTGAAAATCGGAGCTAGTGAGGATGAACACTCCTTCAGGATTCTAGATGGTACTGCATCAGGTCCTGGAGCTTTACTTGATGTCACTTAGTAGTTTCTCAACTCCGTCTGTATCAATTGTTTTATGTATTTGGCATATCTGGGACTGAGGATTCGGGTAAGGTAGGAAAATGGTTGACATCCTCGTTTGTAAAAACTGAGCAGAATTGATCATTCAATACATTGGCCTTGTCTCTGGCAGAACTAACCGAATTTCCATTTGATGTTTTTAGCGTGGATATTCCAAATACCTCCTGCCGTTTTGATTTTATAAAATTTCAGAATGGTTTGGTATTGTTGCTCAACTGGCTTTCATAGTATGTCGAATTTGTGAAGCACAAATCAAGGGTATTATTCAGTCTGGTCGGTTGGTTTACTTTTTGATACAGATTATGATCAAAAGCAATGTCAATCATATGCTTTGCTAGGGCCGGCATAGGATCCCCCAGCTTTGAAACTGAAATTATCCCAGACAACATCAGGAAGATTAAAATCTCCTAAGAGCCACACCGATTCTCTAGTTGAAATCTTACTCAATGTAGCATCCATAATGTAATCAGTGTCTGTAGCTTGGGATCTGTAAAAGAACCCCAATATATAAAGGTGTCAGTCTCTGCACATGAACGCTAGCCCATATACTCTCGCAATTGGACCTTAAATCGGTTTCTTCACTTGCGATTAAGTGTCCTTAAGGTGATTGCGATAAAAACCCTGCCATGAGTGCCTTCCTGTCTATCCCTTCTGAACACTTGATAATTAGGTGGAAAAATTTCTCCGGATGCGATGGAGCTATTAAGCCATGACTCTGTACCAGTAACTATATCAGGCTTTTCAGTCTCTAGCAGAACATGAAATTGGTTTATCTTGGCTCTAACACTTTGACAATTTACATTAAGAATCTTGATTGAATTTAACTTGGTTTTCTTGTCTCTCTTTCTTTTCTTGTTATTAATGAGGGAACAATTTCCTTTAGGGCTTGATGTAGGGTAGTCTACATTTCTTGGCTGTAGGTTCTCCGAATCTGGAATATTCAAACTTGAATTAGAAGTTGAAGGTTCATATGGATTTGATTGTTCAAAGCTTTTGGTGGAATCAAATATGGAGGAGTCAGAGTTTGGTAAGCCACAACTGCAGCATACCCATAAGTAAGATTCATGATTCTGGAGTGCCTCAAAAATGTTGTCACCCATATTAATACATTTTTTATGATACCAAGACAAAAAGTCTTCACATTCAATAGCCTGTTGTTTCCATTTCACTGCTTTGCTACACACTCCGCATGGGTGTTTGGGTTGGTGAGGTCCTGAGTTCATATTGATATCCCCGGACGACAGCAGTAGGAGCATGCTAATATGATTTGTACTGTTTAGTCTTCTGACGACAAAATTATATTTATATCGGGTGGAGTTAATACGTGAAAAATGGAACAAGTTTACTGTAACGGCAAATCTTCAGTGGTGTCACCCAGCTTTTCAAGATGATTTATGGTTGACCAGTGGTAAAAATCTAAAGAAGTCGATGGGTAAAATGGTGCAGAAATTCGGAAATCCCTGGCTGTAAAAATCCTTAATAAAATACAAACAAACGTCAAGCTAATGAATGTTACTTAAAATTTTCTCATGCTAGGCCTCTCCAGGATGGCTTCACAAAGGAAAAACACTTCAATCTGCACTGCAGTTACATAAAAAAGCGACAAGTTAAAAAGAAAAGTCACACCCTAAAGATGATAAAAATCCTCATAGAACTCCTCATGTTGGCATTTTTCTGGCAAAAGCACTTAACAACCGCCTACTTCAGGTCGGATCTAGACAATTTATTATCACTTTTGACTGTAGGCCTAACATTACTTGTCCTATCATGAGTTTGATTACTTTCTTCAACTTCATCACTATCACCAGCATCATCACTGTCATCAGCATCATCACTAAATTCAGCTTATCACTATCTTCATGGTTACTAGGGCCATTGCTAAGGTCATTTGCTGCCACCTTGTCATTTTAATAGGCTCCATTGGACATAAGTATCAATTTGAATCAATGCTATTAAGGAATATGAGCAGTATATTTTGTAATAGTGAATTATGTTCTATTAACTGTATTCGTGACCCAATGTAATTCCGTTACCATGTAATTCTCTTCAAGTGCATCCATCAGGTAGTAGTGTAGTAGTAGTCACAGCGAGCGGACGTATTCCTGTGAGCTCCGCTAGGCCTGCAATACTCTTAATTGCCTGATGTTCTACCCGCGAATTTCAAACGACTTCGGCTGCTATAGGAGCTATGCAAGGACACTCCCTCAGCCTAAATCATTGTGCTAATCCTGCCGGCTCTTGGGGGAAACATGGATTACCTTTTCGAATTTTCTGAATATTTTACTGTATTGTTATGATAAAAAAAAAAAGGCGAAATAAATGAAATGAAATGAAAAAATTCCATTATCAAATGTAATTCCGTTACCAGGTTTTCTACAAAACTAGTGAAGATCAAAGAAAACTTTTGACTGATAATGGTAAAGGTGTATGACTAGTAAGAGAATACAAAGTAACTTAAGTTTATGGACATTGGTTTGCTCTCAGAAAAACATTAAGCACTTTTGTGGCAACGGAATTACGGTGTGATATCACCCAATTATATCTGCTAACTTGCTGTGAAAATTGTAAGATGCCATGTCAGATTCTATCTCAATATTCAGGTTCTAGGGACTTTTAAGTCAAATATTCAGAATAATTAAAGTCAGGAAGGGTTGAGTTAAGCATAATTGGGGATTATTTTTAAAATTAGCTATTTTCTTTTGTTTTTAAATTCTGGTGGTTTTTGAAGAATATGAATTAATAAGACTAAAATTTCACTTCGCACCAAATTCTACATATGTTTCTGCTCTGAATGTCACTCTAAACCAAGTTTAGAGTGACAAGTGGATTAAATTTTTGGTGGTTTTGGCCTTCCACTGTGAAATTGTCCAGATATTACGTTTCCAATCAGAGAGAAAAACACTAAGAGAAAGTTGAAAAATATAGGAAAGAGGAAGAGAAAGGTGTGGCACAAAATTTCAGGACCTTATTAATTAGCCTGTCACAGCCGGAGGCTTCAATACCTGTGAGTAGTTTTTAAACATGATTCGAATCAACTGAAATATTTGAAAGTGGAGCTTTTAATATTCAGGAAGTTCTGCAAAGGCTGTGACTTGAATGTCAGTAAAAACGGAGTGAAAAAATAAATTAAAAATAGTTGCTTTGTCTTTATCAGTAGCAGAATTAATAGTTCTATAATGCAGCAAAGATGGAGCAGTTTGCTTATAATTACTTGTAACCCAGGACCAAAAGCGTTTTCATTCTATAAGCAAAGACCAATATATCAAAGATGTACATATTAAAGATATGCTGTCATTCTAAGTATTTTTAATATTAGTAACAGGTAAATAAATTTTTATCTAATGCGTTTAAAACTAGCTGCAGCTATTTTTCCTTAAAATTACTGTGAAATTGCATGAGCAATTTTTGTCCAGAACTTGCGGCATTATGCAAGGTAGATGAATTAAAAATGTATTGCACTCCACATGTTTGGGTTCCCTTATATATATCCTACCTGCTTGGTGGTTACTGCGAGCCCTTTGTTGTATGCCCATATATAGTCATAATGTGCCTATATATGGTCATGATGTGCCTATATATGGCCATGATGTGCTATATATGGTCATGATGTCTGGGAATGGTTTATCTGTTGTATATTTTTGTATTCTTCATCACATTAGATTTGTGACAGCTTTTAGTGATGCACTTTTTTTTCTTTATTTGTCTTTAGTCCTTCCATGGATAGTAAAGTAAATCATTTTTTTAACACACAAAACGCATTTCCCTGAGTTATTAACCCAGGATTTTGACTAAAATTAGCAACCAGGTATTGAACGAGTAGGATTTTATTTAACGCACTAAAGCCCCATATTGATATTAATGCAACCATAACTTTTTTTAAAGTAAACTTTCCTGTTACTCCATAGGAGCTGTCTCAAAAGCAATCCTCAGAGCAGGAGGAAGAAGCATTCAAACGGAATGCTTAAACAACATGAAACGTAAGGCGGATGACTTTTAATGTTCTATTTCGGCAGTGGCGTAGAAAAGTACTTTTCATTGGGGGGGGGGAATGATTGGCGTGTTAGCCAGTGTCGTAACAGGCTGGTGGGGGGGAATGCCCCTCCCCTGATTTTTACCGTGCTGACCAAGCCATCGTACAGGGCTGGGTAATAAGAGAAAAGAAAAAGGGGAGAGGGAGGGAAAGAGAAAGAAAAGGAAAAGAAAAAGAAAGAAAAAGAGAAGAGAAAAATAAAGACAATAATAAAAAGGAAGAAGATATCATAATGACCAGACTCACAACACCCTGCAACCCCTTCTCCACTTTTTAGGCTATTTATCAATTTAGTTAAATTTATAATTATTCTAATTTATTATTATTACTGATGTACATATTAAATATATTTGATAACCATTTATGAACTTTAGATTAGTTTACATCAGTTTTATTTTCAGCCTCTCAGTATGAGGTCTGGACAGGACCAGGTACATTGCCTTGTAGCGGAATTTGTCACGTACCAAATACTGGCAATCTAAAATCAATCATTGTAAATAGAGTACTGAGAACGGTGGACGTATCAGGGAGATCATCATTGGCATTCCCAGCTATTGGCACAGGTGAGATATATACGTTGCTGTATCTTTTCAATTTGTTTATAAGTCAATCACCTTGTTATCCAAAGTATATATAACATTTCATTTCAACACCAGTAAATCACGAACAACAAACACGTACTGTACAAACATTATGTTTTTGTACCAATCTATGTTTCCTTTGGGAAAAGTGTGGCTACACATGCCAACTTACACTACTAGCACAGCAAATCTGTCAGTGGTGTGCGGACCAAAGCCTAGTGAATAACCTCGATGTGGAAATGATAAAACCTATAATAAGTGCAATATCCTGCACAGGAAAGTGTTGTGAACTTTCAGGCCTGTTTATACTTTAATGATAACGATAACGATAAAAAAGCTAAAAAGCGATTGTTCATATAGAAAACAAAAGAAATACGAGAAATTGTTACACTAGGACGATTCAATAACGATTTATCGTGCATACAGTACGATAACAAAATATTTTTACAAATTAAATCAGATGTCATAATCATGGAAAAATGATTAAAATCGTAGAGCTACTACTACGATTTTAATGTTTTTTCATGATTATGACGTCATCTGATTTGATTTGTCAAAATATGTTATCGCATAACTGATAAATCGTTATCGAATCGTTCTAGTGTAAAAACTTCTCTTTAAATTTATTTTCTAATTTTTCTGTTTGCTCCGCTCACTTTGAGGCCCGACAGCGCCAAATCGAAATGACTCAATGCTTGAGCGGAAATCCTGTCCACATGGCGTGATATACCAGGCCCTTACGACGTGATGAGTGTGTATGCACCCCTACCAAATGTTCACATTTTCCTGGGTAAAAATTAAAGAGACACTCTCACACGTGCCAAAAATCCATCAACCAAAACTCCTTGACCAATCAGAGTAGTTTCCAAATAGGACTGCCTCTAATTTGTCGTACAAAACAAGCAAGGACTTTTACTGTATTTATAAGCTTTTGAGGAATTTAAGTGTCTTCCCTGCCACTGCGTGTCAATAACGTGCCATGTACAAAACTCATCTCTCTTTCTATAGGTTTCACTATAATTTTTTTTTCTCATTTCCATCCATCTAGCGGTGCCATAATCATAAATTTTATTACCTCAGCCCAACCATGGTGGGGCCGAGGTATTATAAACCCCCAGTAGTGGATTTAAGGGGTGGGGGGGGGGCAAGCTGACCCGGGCCCATAAAAGTTATAAAGAAAATAGCGAGAAAACAAAACATACAGTAATATAATCCTATTTAAGTTTCGAGCTCCATTTCCGGCCATCTATAGGAGCCATAATCATAAATTTTCTTTTTCTCAACCCCAACCATGTGGAGCCATGGCAGGCTGAGGTGGGTGAACCTGAGCCTCTATTTCTTCGGAAAGTTTCTCACTGGACACTCCTTCTATTTCGAATTCCTGAATTCGCCACAGCCCCCATTATGTTAAAGTCCCTCCCTGGCCCGGTATAGTGGTGGACATATTCGCTTCAAAACAACAACAGAGGGATTTATTGCTTTCCCTACCCTGTTCCCAATTAGATCTTAATTTTATATATTTTTGATGTCTAGGCCTACTCATCTTATGCACGATATAAATCGCTTGTAATTATTTGTTCATATTATTCGCAATTTCCATTAATTCCATTTATTTATAATATACTGGTAACATTTACATTTTTATGGTAAAAATTTATTATTTTCAATGCCCAATAATATTATAGGCTTTTTAAAATTTGCACTATGGACCTACATTATTTCCTTTACATTTAAATTTATTTATGTATTATTGTATTTGTGCCATAACATTACAAACAGTATGTTAACGTTATGCAGTAAAAATCCGAAACACCATGTCGTTGAAAGTGGCACAGTTCACATATAGGCTATATTTTATTCCGATTTATTTACGATTCTTTAAATTTAATCATATTAATGAACGTTAACTGTAGTATAATTAATGACATTTGTTTTTAATGATGGCCCTGTCACACCTTGACGATTTACCCAGCGTATGCCGACGTATAAAAAAAATGGTGAATACACTGGCGTACGTCGAATAAGTTATTGGTAAGTTTCGTATAAGTTAAGAGCACGCTGAAGCACGCTGGTATACGTCCTAGTACGGCGAGTACGTCGAAAAGTTTTGTGCATGCACAAACCTTTTTGATGCCAGTGTATGGCTCGTACATTCCGCATACGCGGGCCATAAGTTGTAGGTAAGTTAAACGATTGTTGACACACGTTACTTGTAATTTACTCGAAAGTCAAAACGTATTTCTAACCTATGAGTAATATGCTTCAAACTTATATGTAACTTATAACAAACTTATCTCCAACGTATATTGACATATGTAGACATATTTGACGAGTTCCAGACGACCACAAAACTTACTAAACGTGTTTCTAACTTACAGTTATCGTATAATGGCGTATTGGCAGCGTTTAGCTGAATAGGTATATTCAAATGGGGTGATGTTGATTAACACATCAAAGTTATATATTCATCGTAGGCCTATCAAAATGTTGATAGACTACAGAAAATAAAACACTGAATAATGTTTTCTCTCAAAACATGTGGCGGATTTAGGGGGTGGGGGAAGCCAACCGAGGCCCTTGCCCTAAATGGGGAAAAAAGAAAATTATATTCAAGTCTTAGAGGGGCATTTCCGGCTAAGGGTGCCATAATTATACCACTGTCAACTGTATAATATGGCACAATGGCCCATAGATCGCCATCTAGTGACCAACGGTCTCAGCATTTTCGTAAAACAATGGCTGGCCGTATTCAACCCGAATGGAAGAACGGAGAACGTAATATAACGGACGCGGTCGCCGAAAATCCCAAATAAACCCAAATATTGCCGATGTGGCTCAAAAATATCGATATGATGGTAACCTGACTCTAGATCAAAGGTGAAAAAATAAAAATTCCTAGAAAACAAAAGCCAAAGTGGAAAGGCCCTCGTACCTAAATTTTTATACAAAAGTATATTATTAACATGTTGCAGAACCAGGACTATAATCTTAGTTTTTTACCTTTGGACACCGTAAGAGAGTTGACAACAAATGGTGTATTCGTGTTCTTCAATACACCCGCGTTCAACAATTGTGTAATGGCTTCGACTACAATCTCGGGATGGTTCAAAACGATTGTTCTTTAGAAAAGCTGATAGGCGGCAAACTTTTAAATGCAAATTTACGTAACCCTTACTAAGAATATCAGTAAAAAACAAAGGATGATTGGTTGGAGTGATCTAACCAATAATCTTTGCAACAGCGCAAACGGCCTGTGACGACCCTGGGAAATTCAGAATTTGTATTCGTAATTTTTGTCAAATTAACAATTATTATCAATACTTATCTGTTTAAGCTTTGCTTCTTCCCTGCCCTGTCTGCTGAAAACTGCCAGCTGTACGTTTGACGTATTGGGTATGGCCGGCTTGGCCACACCCCCAGCAAGTCTGGTAAGTCCAGTTGACACAAGTTGTTGGTGCCACATGTAACTGTGGCTTTGAAAAAATGCTCCTGCTGAACCTGGGATGAAAGTTGAACCCGGGGTGAAAATTTGCTGTCCTTTGCTGGCAGAACGCCTACGTTTGCGCTCCCTCTCTCGCCGTTTTTAATTCCGCCGTGCATACAGCTTTATAGACAAACTTGTCGCCATCAGAATCGCTGGCAAGATCGTCAGAAACATAAGCTTGTTGTATGGTATCCCATGGAGGTATCCCATCCATATTTATTAAAGCCCGGCTTAGAAAAGTTCCAACACGGTGGCACGCCAGGCTTAGTACTATACGAACACAGCCTTGGATAAGCCACCTAGTTTAGACTGGCAGGTGGATAAACCCGTTGAGTTTAGCCAAGTTTATCCACCTAGTCTAAACTAGTCCTTTATCGTGTGGCGTGGTGACTGCGAATTACTTACAATAGACCACCCAGAGGACACGGAACTAGGGGGATGCTGCGTTATGGAGAGTAATGTGTGACCGGAAATGGTCTGCCAGTTGGTTGTTACCATGCGCCAGTGATGTTGGAGTACAGCAAGATGAAACTATTTATGTAATGCATGAATAAAGTTCGGGGTTTGTCGGGTTTGTACATTTGAAGTGCTCCATCCATGCATAAATGTAAGCTAAATTACGGTGATTAATTAGCGAAGATATGGAGACAATTATTTCGAAGTTCCCTCTTCCAGAGGGGATGCAATGCTTTGTGAAAATGAGTACCCCGCGGTACTCATTTTCACAAAGGAATACACTCAGCTGGTTAGCTATAATATGCAAATTTACATGAACACCTGGGAAGAAAGGTGCAATCACGTTCTGTCGCCTAGCAAACGTCTGTACTGTAGCGTGTGGGGGGGGGGGGGCGCTAGCCTACTGATGTACTGTGTATAGCGGGGACAATGAAGTGTAGAAACAGCTCCTCTAGTTTCATACAGGTACTTACATACTACTTAAAACTACTAATAATCAGAGACGATTGCCTGGGACTCACCATTTGGGAATTCTTCTTCCAAATCTAAGTCCAAGCAAGTTCAAGTCAGTATTCCTTACGTCACAGGTCAGAGTTTGTGTTTACTTCAGCCAGCTGGCACTACAGAAGCATGACAGTGCAATTATATGTGATAGAAAATACACTTTCGAAAGAAATAAATTAAAATAAGAAAGAAAAAAAAAATTAACTAGGGCCTAAGAATAATTCAGTTGAAGACGTACCTTCTTTAAATAATGCTAACTATGCGGCTCTTTTGTAGCCCTAGCTAGACAAGGCACTGGTGTTTGTTTATCCATGAAAAAAGCACGCCGGGAAAGTTTGCCTTATTAGGAAAAGGTGACGTATTCTAGCTTATGACGTATGCATGCTAACTATAGCGTGAGTGTGACGTCACCAAAAAATTAAAAATTTTCTATTATAACCAAAATATTATTAACTACAAGGTTTGTGGGCGTAAATTCCCTTAATACAAATTAAGGGTAGCACCATCTCCTTGCTATACAAATTACAGCTCCCATTGACTTCTCAGTCGAGAAATACGGGTAGCTGAAGTTTTTCTCGNNNNCCTTTTCCCCTTTTTTCTTTTGTGTTTTTTTTTTTTTTTTTTTTTTTTTTTTTTTTTTTGTACGAACGCACCAATTGATATTGATTCAATTCCCTTGATTCAAAGGTGTATGTTCAAATAAATAAATAAATAAACACGCCGCTGAGGGCGGCATTCCAGGAACCCTGCGTCCAGCCCAAACCACTGGGTTTGCATAACTCATACACAGCATACCAAACCATGACTCACTGTAACGAAGACAATTAATAAATTTCAATTAAGTTAACATTATAACTTATTATTGTTCAGGGGTGGCGCCAGCGTATGGGGCCTAGGGGGTGGGGGAAGCTTCCCTAGTCGGGGAGAAATTATATGTATTTTCTACATATTATATAGACAAAATCGATTAAAGCCTTTGAAACCCCCAAATTTCCAAAATTTCTAGGGGCTTTACCTTTTGGACCACTTTCGGAACCTTTTAATCGAAGCTCGACCACGCCCACTTTGCTTTCGTCGGGGAAAATCTGACCCCTCGTCGGGGGCATCGTCGGTTTGACCGATCTGGAATTTGCCTTTAACATCTCGCTTACACAATCCTTCATCACTAACTCAATTTGTGTTTTTAATAGAGTAGTAAAGTGTACCGTATTAAGTAAGTGTTTAAAGGTTAAAGGTTATTCATTTATATTGCGTAAAATACGAGAGTCTCTATGCGCAGAACAAGTGGGAAGATGTAAATGGCAAAAAAAAAAAAAAAAAAAAAAAGAATCCAAGCCAGCACCCAAACCGCAGTATAGGGATGGGGCCTACGCCTTCGTCGCTGAGCAAGGATCTATCAAAATGTGTATACCCTGTCCAGCACCAGTTGAGTCTCGGCCATCTCCAGGACTCAGGCGCCTCCTATCCTGATAGAACTACAAAAAAGCTTAATATGCAACCTGTGTATTATGTATTGATTTTTAACTTATTTATTGTTATAGACCTATTTTATGTAATTTATCATGCCAGTGTAATTAGTTCTGTCAAAAGTATCTCATATACATAAACATTTAGAGCAAGATTTATTTGGTTTATTTATTTATTTATATCCATGATTGCACTGTAAGTTGGTCATAAAAGTTCATGAATATGTAAAAGCGATAAATTGGTCTATCTACCCACCCCCAGCATAATGTTTGTGCACTTGTGAAGATGCTGATATTTGGGAGCGACCCTACAAATACAGACAGTGTACTGTATTGTATATTTGTTTAGGAGTATGCCTGTATAAAAATTACTCTATACCTTTAATATTCAGTGGTATGATTTTTTAATTTGTAGTGTTATTTTGAATGTACAGTTTATTCCGTTTTATATGCATATTTTATTAATGATTGTGTAGAAGTGTGCTCCTTCTAATTTTTATATTTTTGTAATTTAAGCTGAACGCACACTCTTGTGTGTGCCGCCGTTCCAAAGGCGTATGTTCTCAAAGTAAATATAATAAATAAAAAAATAAATATGTTTATCAAAGCATGATCCAATGAATTTTCTGCAGTGTTTAGTATAAACCTCACAAGTGATGATAAGGATACACTATGTAGAATAGCTAAGAAAGTATATTGATAAGACGCAATCTGATTGATTTACCTAACTTGTATGAAAATGATGCTGATAAACTCACCAAACAAGATAATCTCATCCATTAAATAAATGTCTTTACAAACAGATCTGGTAGGAAAAACAGTACGAAACGTCACAGAAACTCTTTATTCCCTAGTGCAATAAACCTGTCTAATCAGAGCTTTACAATATAATGTGTAATTTAATACTGTAATACTGTACTATTGTATCTTGATACCCCTGTTTGTATGTATTTTTAAGTATTTAACAATTGTAACCGTTGTTTTGTAACTTTCATTTGTGCCAATAATGTTTTTATATTTAATATATTTTTTCATCATCTGTCTTTAGAAGATGAATTTTTTATGTTTTTTTTATTTTTTATTATTATTGTAAACATATGACAAATAAATGAAATTTTAAGTCTTGAATCTCGAAAGCTCCCTAATGAAGTGACCGTTCGCGGGCGAACAACAACTTGGTTTGAGCTTCTTTTTGCTCTCAAACCATAGTTCCCGCTGGAGGAAAGTTAATAATTATATGTGGAAATGAAAATGTAGGAAACCACGACGCAAAACGTTAGACTCTTTTGCGACTCAATCAGAAGTAGTAACACAGTAGTTTGTTTCACTAATATATTTTTAAATATTATATATGTTAATGCCAATCCAAATCTAAACCGTGTTGTATTTTGTGTACTATTCTCGCATAATTCTCCACGTAAATGTCATGTCTCTCTCTGTGCTGTTGTAAAATACAATATTTATATTTTGTCTGTTCACATTGTATCAAGGAATATAAACTAATTATGATATTACTTTTTTCTGTTAGGAGCCGCTTCTAAAACACCTAGGGAATCAGCTATGTTCATTTTGGATTGTATTGGTTCATTTGCGATAAAGTATAAACCGACCAACTTGCGTGATATCAGAATAGTCGTATTTGAGGAAGCTATGACTCGTGAATTCATATCTGTAATGGAAGAGACAGAGAGAAAACCATTTCAACAGAGAAATCTTCTGCAGAAGGGCTGGGGTAAGTTATGCGGTTTATAGGTTGACATATCTATACCGCATTTTATGAAGATATTCAATCCACTTTGTTAATTTCTACCCATCAGTTTAGGTTATAAATTAAAGACCTTGATAAATATGTATTTTTAGTTTTATGTTTTTAGCAAGTACTAATTATTTCCAATAGGCTGATGATATAGGTATCTATTGTGCCGTAGTATATTCTTGTGTATAAGGCAATCCGCATTATAGGACGGCCACGAGTTTGAGATGATTTTGGACGATTTTTGTATGTTGGGCGTATAAGACAACCCACTGTTTCACCGTCGAAATTCATATTTTGCTGCTTTAAAGGTCTTGATACTGCATCTAGCTGACTGAAAACGGAATCAAATGTAGGGCTAATCTTCCAAGTAATACCATCTGTGAGCTCTTAAAATGTTCATCAAAATCTTACTTCTTGGTATTTAAAATTTCATTCATTTATACTAACAGTTAGTACGGTACCTCTATTTCAGTACCGTAGCAAATTTGCGTGTTACATAGTAAAATTGTGTGTGTTCCGCGTAAAGACGACCTCCCACCCCGTTTATCGATCGTAATTTAGTATTTTCAGCCTCATCTTATACGCAAGAATATATGGTATTCCTAAAAAAAATAAGATTTTTTTAAAGATCTACAGATGGCAGTATTCACCATGGTATGTTATGTATATTATGATATTAAAATATGATGTGAAATTTGAATTTAAATGGTAGATTTTTATTCACCGATTATTATGACAAAGAATGCATATTTATCATATCGTGTCCTTATCCCAAAATCAATCAATTAATCAATCAATCAATAACTCTATCAATCTGTCTACCCATTCAGCTAAAACAATTATACGGAGGCCCTGGTTCGGGAGCACCGCCTTGGCACATATAAATTAGCAATTTCTACTCTCTTAATGAAGTAATCCATACTAATCATCCCTGTCGAACATCATTCCGAGCACAACCCATAAAATCGAGTATCGTACAATTTATTGTTTTCTCATATAAAGTAATGATTCTCTCCGGGCACCACCCTGTATCTTGTTTTCGTGTAGCAGGAATATTGATTACTAATGCAATCGATTCTACCTAAATGATGTGTGACTAATGTAACTGTATACCGTATATCGTATTTTTACTAAATTAATCTGGGCTATTTATGTTCCCACAGACATTATTATTTCATAGTTTATGTTTTGGGAACGGAATACAGTAATGCTTACTTATGGAAGTAAAAGTACCAATATTGTAACTACTATCATTTAAAGAGAAAGAAACCTATTACAGGCCATGATTATATTTAGCGTTTGGGTTAATAAAAACCGGCACTGGTAGGCATAATCCGACATGGTAGTTTATTTCCATTTTCTGTCAGTAGAATAGCCCTCTCAGTGAAAAACACTGCTCTTCCGAGGGGCTCCACTATAATAAAATCTACAGAAGAAAATAAACAGTAAATCTTAAATCTATTATCTTTTGAATTTAGAGTAAAATAGAGTCTGGTACGATTTTACCTTGTCGAATTAATTCGGCTTGAGCCATTAACTTAATTTTCTCTCTATGGAGATGTACTATCAAAAGTCTCGTGTGTTTGCGTTTGGTAGATCTTTACCGATTACTTTATAAGCAGTTTTAATTATTTAATCAAATATTAGCAGACAGACGAAAGATCGACAAATTGAGAGTTATAGCTAATAGGAAATCAGGGGTATAAATTTTTTTTTTGTTAGGGGTTGACGTGGCAGAGCGCGTTGTTTGAATGAGGTTGATGTTACAGTGTCCTATCAGATTATTATTTTTTTGATAAGCAGAAAAAGTATGAAATAATTATAGAACGATGAGGTGATGATGACGAAGACAATGATGAAGGTAGTAATGAATGAGTGATGGAGACACTAATATAGCTTCTGGCTTGAGATTCCATAGCCACGTCAGCCTCACCTTGGTTGGGTCGAGGTGCGGATTTTATTCATATTTAGAGAAAATCTAGATCTCTGGAAAAGGCACCCTCAGACTTAGAAATTGTCTTAATTTGAAAATTCAACCACCACTTGCAAATATGACGACATCAAGTGAAACTGCAATAATAACAAAATAACCGACACTATCGTTTATGCAATCTAAATTGAAGCAGACTTTATAGACATAAACTGCAATTTCTATTTAAATCATTGGAAAACTAAAAAAAAGGGCTAGAATGCATAAGTCTCAGTCATATATGCATAAGTACATTATGACTAATGCAGGCTAAAGTGATTAGTCCAAGCTGGACCTAAAGAGTTCCGTTCAGGTTACAGGGACAAACGCCCAGTAAGCATCAGCGGTAAAGTCTTTACATTAGAGGAAAAATACAGGACAGTTTCGCTGACAAGCGATATTTGTTGGTAATTTATATTGGTCAGGTTTTCCTGCATGCAACAATTTTAAATTATAGAATTTAGTATTAAATATATAAAGATAAATATTATTAATGAATATTTTTATATGCATTGCTTTATTAGATATTTCTATAAGGGGTGTGCCCCTAAAGACCGGGGCCCTGGAGATATGAGGAACATGTTTCAATTAACCGACTAACCTGTAGTAGTTACTCCACTGCTAAGCATACGTGATCATTTTTAACAATTTAAATTTATAATATGCAGTATAATAGCCTAACGATGAATAATATCAATCTAGATTTTAGATTTTTTATTTATGCATTGCTTTATTAGATATTTTATAAGGGGGCGGGGCCCTTATAGATCTGAGCCCCTGGAGCTTGGGGCTCATGTCCAATGAATCTGCGGTAGTTACGCCACTGAAACCAAAGAAACCAACTGAATCAATCGAACCCAACCAACAGGCCTTCTTATCAGCCAATCATTCTTTAATAATAATAGCGATTTAGTTAATTTCAAAATGTTCCGAAGATATTGAACAATAACATTTGAAATAGGCACGTCATACTTGAACGGTATTAAAAAAAAAAACTGTTTAAAATATAGGCTGTTAATTGGCTAGCGCTCACCAACACCTTTAGTATTTGTTTAATGTCATTTTATGATTTGATTCATGTTTATCTTCTAGCTGCCGTAAAGTCGTGGTGGGAAAGGGAAGAAGAAATAACCAATGATTCTCATATTAATCCAGCTGTTACCCTGAGAATTTTGGCACTTCATGAGGACCAAATACAAGACGCAAAAGGCAGAATACAAACTATTATATCACAAGAAACGAAGGAAAAGGTTGAATATTATAAATATGTTGTAGTTAAAATAAAATGAGCACATAGTAAACAATAAGACCAAACAAGAACAACGTTCAATTAGAAATGTACACAGGAAATCACTGCTTATAATCTATAAATAGTAAAACTATTAAATTACTTGTTAGACTAACCATCAGATTATTAAGAAAATGCTCGGACTCCCTCAATGAAAATCTTAAAACAGTACTCTCCATAGCTAATTTCTGTCGGAGGCCCAACATTTCACTGTGAAAGAAACTATACCCCTATGAAAAATGTTCTACAATAAAAGTGTGATGTTTTATTTCATTTCCATCATTTGTTTTAATTTTGTTTTTCTTAGGCAATACACAACGAAGTGTTCAGTCGATTCGCAAGAAGGCATTTTATGGAGTTAAAAGAGATTGGTGTGAAACATGGGGTACCGTATTTTTTTTGTTCAATCGTAATTACTTAGGTGTTATCAAATTATCGCTTTTTTTGGCATTCATAATCAGTGATCAACTTACTGACCGATTGAAATATACCAATCAGTCAGTATATATAATTAATTTATTTACATATAATTTAAATATTCGCTAACGATCTTGATTTATATTTTTAAGAAGGAGTTTTAAAGTTTCAGCTAAAGTAGGTGTGAACTTTCAGCTAAAGTAGGTGTGAACAACACTCGAAGACTTTTGTTTCTAAATTGACCGATTTATGTAAGCTATGTAAGCTGTTATATTGCATAAATATTGTATTATATTGCACATAGTTACTATAAGCCCATATCTACAATATCTACACATTTCAGGTTAAAATAGATATGACTAAGGTACGGGCCAACGTGGTTAAGTTGCACGGCAGAACTACCAGTGTCATGGATGCCCATGGTGGTATCGTTGAACTCATTAACAAGTTTCACGAAGAAGAAATGGAACATAAAGAAAATGAGTTCATTTTGAAAGAGGTTAAATGGTATTATGAAAGTGATGCAAAAGAGATGATAGAATTTGACGAGGAAATTGTGATTTTGCTAGAAAAAGCTTACAAGAAGAAAAAAAGGACAGTGAAGTACACTACAACTAAAAATTTCACATACGAAGTTGATTTTAAATATATGGAAGAAAGAAATTTATCATCAAATCGGACTAATGCTGTTGAACGTAAAGACCTTACTGGTAAAGTTCACTTTTCATTCTTATTATTACAATGAATTGTATTAAAATTATAACAAATAGGCCTATGCTTCTTGCCTTCAATTTAGAGTGAAAGAAATTTAAACACACGTTTACTTTATTTTGTTTCAGTTGGGCAGAATTTTCCTTCCACGTGGTTAACAATGGGATCAAGTGAAAAACTGAAAGTTGTGGATCTTAGTCAAGGCACAGAATACCAAAATATAAAGCAGCAGTTCATTGCATCATTATCTGGACAAAACACACATATACACAAGGTTAGTATAATCTGTCATAATGTTGCCTACGTGTTAGTATTTAAATAGGCGTAAGAGTGGGCCTAATTTAGAACTCTGATTAACAAACAGGTTTAATGATATCTGTTTTCGTCGCTGTCGTCGTAGTCTTCGGGCCGCCGCTCATCACTATCGCAGTCGCTGCCTTTGCATCGCCGCCGCCGCGATGACGACGGTGACAGTGATCGGCCTAACTCTCATGCTGGTTAATTATCTGATCATTAGGAACCTTTCGTAGCCCGAAATGGGATCGGTGAAATGTTAAAGCACGAATTCCTCGACTAAAGAATGCATCCCGGTCTAGCATTGTCTAAATCGAGGGGTGCAGCACGATTTTATTACATAAATACATAAGAATGGCATTAACACGATAAATACTAATAACAAAAATGAAACATAGGCCTAAGCGTTATTATAGTATTTCAAAGTGCGACAGACAGATAAAAATTGCAACAGCTTTGTTGTTGCAAAGTGCGACTCGATTAACAAAGTGCGATGTTATTACAAAATTCAACAGTACACTTCTTTCTCATTTGCTTGCTTTGATGTCCTCATCATATAGCAAAAATAGCGAAAGTGTTGCAGATAACTGAAATTCTCCAACATTAGATTATTTTTTGTCCTGGGCAAAGTGGTCGATGTTCAATAAAACACTGCGTGCAGTAAACCTATGTTGTTTGTAAAGAAAATTATTTTGCAATATTTCAAAGAAAGAGCATTTGACTCAGGACAAATCTTCACATATTTACCAACACCAACAGTTGTAAATTTGCCGTGGTGTGTTTTCATTATTACATTTGTGGGCGCTGTTTGTTACATTTGTGGCCATTATTACATTATGTGCGTGGTTTGTTGTTATTTGTGGGCGTTTTGACATTTGTGGGTGCAACAGAGCTCCCTGGCAGTGCTTTTTTAACGTTCCATTCCCTGCATACAGAATTATGGCAGTCGGACCTCTTGCAGTTTTATACTCTTTGATGTGACTCTCACTTGATAATGATGGTTTGAAGCCATCGAAATATGTTGTGGTATATACTTGTAATTTAAGTTAAGAAAAGAAAAATAAATTGAATATTTGAATTGTTTAATGTTTGAACTTTAAACAGGTAAAACAATATTTAAAATGTCGATATCTTGATATTGAAATTTACGGATTCTGATGTAATCCACTTTATAAACGCGTATTTCTCAAAACGTTGTTTTTTTTTGGTCGAAATTGGAGTTTGTGTATCTTCGTGAAACGGTGACAAAATGTAAGAATGGTGTTAACTTATAGAGAACTGACTTGACATTTCACCTGCTTCCAGCAAGGCTCAGTAAGGCTCAGACATAATGAGCCGAAATGATGATCGTCGGCTATCAGATATTAGGGAGCTTTGGATTGCACGATGACGGTAGGACGTACAACGTAATGACATCACTAAACATCATTTGCGCATGCGAGAACATTAAGGTCACCTCGTCGAGTAGATTCTGGAACGCAATTTGGCCAAATCTGGTTCTGATGAACCATGACTGTGAACCCACCATCAAATAACCTCTTGGATTTTCCCAAGCAGGGTGTGCGGGAACAGGTCTCCTTCAAATTATTATCATAATGTGTGGCAGTTCGATGTACGAACTGCCTCACAAATATGATATTTTGAAGGAGGTCATATAAAAAGAACTTTATATTAACATATTACTGTATTATTATAATTATTAATTTTGATATTATTAGTATAATTATTATTATTTTGATTATTTGGATTATTATTGTCAGGGAACAGTGAAATTATTATTATTATTATTATTATTATTATTATTATCATCATCATTACTATGATTATTATCAATATAGTAAGTTAATTGTTATTTTCATCATTAATGGACCTATCACCATCTATTTTAGATTAGCCGCATTCAAAATATTGAGTTGTGGAAGCAATATGCTGCAAAAAAAGAAGCGTTTGAAAAAGCAATTCCAGGTAAACAGGTTGAACAAATTTTATACCATGGTACAGATGAGTCTACAGTTAAAAACATCAACCAAACTGGTTTCAACAGAAGCTATGCTGGAAAAAACGGTAATGCCCTTCTTCTTATCGCATCCACACAAGCTAAACACGGTTTAGCCCAACAAATTGTTTCTGTTAAACATGGTGCACACTGCGTCGTCCACAGTGTACGCTGAATCATCTTGTCAACAGAACGTTTTCAAATACATATTCAAATAAATTTTATTGTAATTTCCAATAGGGTGATAATGAAGCTTAACTTAAAAGTTGACAAAAGAAGAATATACTGTATTTCACTATAGCCAATATCAAAAAAGACAACCAACACTAAAAGTATAAAATTTTATGACACCAGGCTAGTTGTGTGGAGGTCTTAGTTCGAGAATTCACACTCGAATCACAGTGAATCACAGTATTTGGGAACGTACAGAATATTCAGTACGATAAGACGTCAGGTAGGGCTAAACATAACTCCTAGAATTAAATTCAAATTTTAAAAAATGCGAAGACCTACGTTTCGAAAAAATTGAATTACGTTTTTAGAAATTAAAAGTACCTTTTAATAAATTAGACCTACATTTTTAGAAATTGACCATGATTTTGATTTTAACGCACAATTTTGCTGCCTATGGCGCCCCATAAAGATCCGCTCAAATTGTCAACGACGGTCTGCCGACGTTGTTTCGGGTAAGCACAGAGTGCAGGCGGATTTATTCATCAAAATACACTAATTATGGTATGCAATCAAATTATGAGTTCATAAAAAAGAAGCAATTTCCGCAGAATGAAATTTTATGATTGTGTTTTGTGTGTCATGTCTGACTATTTCTAGTGTGTGTTGAGGTAGGTGCATTCTGTATTCATGTGGGATTTATTTTCAATTTTAACACTATCACTTAATTTTAATTTTAGCAACAGCATACGGCATGGGAACGTATTTTGCAGTTACAGCCGGTTACTCTGCGAGCAACCAATATTCCAGACCAAACATACAAGGACAAAAGCACATCTTCCTATGCCATGTTCTCGTAGGAAGGTATACCCAAGGAAAGCCAGGATTATTGGCACCACCACCTTTGCAGCCAAACTCTACTGACCTATATAACAGTGTTGTTGATAATGTTGCAAATCCTGGAATGTTCGTCATATTTAACGATGTTCAAGCATATCCCAGCTACTTGATTACCTTTACGTAGGCCTACAAGCAGCGTGACCACTCACAATTTTTGATATACCCAATGACTGGGTCGAAATTACCCAAGATTCAGCAAAAATTGCTCAAAATTACCCAAGCTTCCTGAAAATGCATTAAAATTGGAAAAAAAACCGTGTTTTTCGCATGTATAGTTTCACTTTTAGTTCAATTTATTAACCATTTTTTATTGTAATTGCTTGTGTTAATTATGAAAATTAATATTCATGAGGTGATAATACGGATAGAAAAATACGCCCTCAGTCGGCCAGTGTTATCAATGATCAAGTTTTATTATGTAATGCGTTAATTAGGTAAGATCAATGGCAACGCAAGTCACAAAAAACAATTCTGAACCCATGTTTATAGCAATTAACAATGTTATGTGCACTTGGTTGAGTTTTGCTTACTTGAATGGACTGAAATATACTCTGTTACTTCTTAATTCTTCCTCTATGACAAAAATATTTAATTTTCTTAGTAAAAATAAAATACCCAAGGATTTGAACGGAATACCCAAGAACCCAAGACCAAGTCAAAATACCCAAGATCTTGGGTAAATACCCAAGCAGTGGTCACACTGCCTACAAGAGTAACAGCAACAAATACAACAATTATAATTATTCTGTGATAAATGCTTGCTGTGCACCACGTAGGCCTAGATATAGGCCAACGTAGTGTACCACGTATACTTCGCCATGTAAACAATATAAATGCATTATAATTTATAATCCGAAAACATTTTACATCAGCGTCAATCCTTCTTGTTTCCCCCATAGATAACCCCTAGGACATTTCATTTACAAATACATCGTTAACCCATATAATACAATTATAAACGGCAATCTATATACCTAGCTATGATCAAATTAGGACGCTCTTGTTTACAGAATCAGTGAATAAATACCAGAAGATAGGTAGACTGCTTATTAGATACGTTACACATTTTGATAGGTGGACGAATTGTACAATTTTTTTTTTTTTTTTTGATTTTTTTTTTTTGGAGACGGCGACAGGAATTAGGATAACCACTGGATGTACACTCCAACTATTATTATTTATATACTGTAGTGTCAAAGTGTTAGTAATGCTCTAAATTGTTTGTGGGCTCTTAGCAAATATATAAGAATTAAAATACCGGTATTATTATTATTATTATTATTATTATTATTATTATTATTATTATTATTGTGTATATTTTCAATAATATTATTATTGGGAGCACTTTCTGTGAAAATTACAAAATTCAAATTAGAGAATTAAGAAACTATAAAGGAAGAGTCAATAAAAAATTGAATATAATTAATTTAGGTTATCAGACTACGCTCATACTTATATGAAAAAGTTTCAATAAAATGTTATTTGACGTTGATAAAGATAACAGGAGCTATCGAAATATCCATTTAATTTTGTTATGTTTTAATAAATTCGTGTTCCGCAAGTCAACCTTCAATGATTCTACATCTACATCGTTTTTTTCATTGTTTTTACATTTTATTTCACTTGAAGCATACATATAAATCTCGGGGAAACACCACAGGTTTTACAATTTTCCAAAAATTGACGTCGGCTTCTGCTTTAATTGCTTTTATTTGTAAGCCTCTCCAGTTGTCTGCATTCCACCTTCGATACTGTAATATTTTTAAAGCAGAAGCTGATGTCAACTTTTTGATATATATAGTCTTTTGTTAATGATGTTCTGGATGATGACAATGTCAGTAATAACTATAAAATTAGGGTAACGCCTAATACTCTCAAAAAATATATTGATAAGCTTCCGTTGGGTAAAGCAATGGGATTTGATGGTTTGTTCAATCATGGAGGTATAAAAATATTTTTATACCTCCATGGTTCAATGAACACTTTAAGTTTGCTTCCGATAGGTTGTGTGTAGACTTGCCACAAGTCTCTAATTATAGGTTTTCCTAGTATTAGTTAATTTTGGAGAGCGCCACCAGCGACGGTATATATCGAGAAACTTTTATGCGAATTAGAGACTTGTAAAAGAGTGAGTCAAATCGATTGCAGACCGCTGGCCATGACAAGCATGACATAATTTTTGGGATGCCGTATTTGGCAATAGAGTGAATGTTATGACGGAAGGTCAACCAATCAAACGGTTCTCGTTTTGGTGCCACGAATGTAGAGAGGAGTCAGGAAGTTGGGACATAGCTCCGTGTAGGTGCGTGGAATATCGTGGTATTTTATTAGTGGAGGAAAAGAAAACACCAACCGAAACGCCAAAAAAACTGTATTCCAGAGAAATTTTTGTTCTGCGCACAATATCGAGAGCGTGGAAAAGCTGCAGTCTAGAAAGTGGTTGTATTGCGAACCGTCTTGGTTCACGCGAGGCTCAGTATTTTAAAGACTACAGTAGAACATAACTGTCCACCACAATAGGCCTAGGCCGACGGGAAAGATGTCATGCTGTCGAACCTGCGACACAAAATTGAAGACAAAGGATACCTGGATAAGCCTCGGGAGTGGTCGAGGGTACGTTTACGTATTTTTAAAAACAAGTGAATGTCACCAAAAAGAGGAGCAGCTCGTCTGTATTCCCAAGAGCAAAGATAAATTTGATTAGCGCGGTAGGCGAAACATGAACTAACCACATAGGCCTACTGCTGGTGTAGTGGACGGGACGATCCTGGCCTAGTATGGACTCGTCTCTAGATAAAATGATGATGGTACCAACGAGGCCGAAACTAATGTAAAGGTGCGTCAGTCTTTAAAATACTTATTAGAATTCTGTGTTTATCTTTCATTTATTGTTAAGATAATATAGTGAAACAAAGTAAGATAAAATGTAAACCATAAAACTACTTTTTAGGAAGGCTATAGTTTGTTTAAAGCAAATCAATTTAGGAAAATACCAGATATAATTTTTTTAGTAATTTTAAAAATGGACCTTAATTTAAAAATCAAATAAATAGCCCCCATCACTCCTTTTGTCGACTCTTGTGAGTGATTGTGAATGCACTTGTTATTGTAAACTGCTTAATAATTAATTGTACTTATTCTTCAGTTTTCAATCAGTTGATGGAATTTATATTTTCCAAGATATTCACAAAAAGTCACAGCCCTATTTCTCTATCTGGAAGTACACTAATTTTAATCATAGTCTATTGGCTAACCTATATTTAATTGCCATTAATAATTCAAATTTTCACTATGAGACTGAATGAAATTTGTTGACACTTTACAGGGATTTCTATGACATTAAATAATTTATCAATACTATAATATATAGTCATAAAATAATGATAAGGTCTATGTTAAATGTGCCATGGTTATGGAAAGTGGTCAATGCATATATGAAAATTTGGCTAGGACATAGTTTGACAAACTATTCATAGTTAAATGAATATATATATATATATATATATATATAATTTGTAATTATAAAATGCCTATTGTTTTTATTTTACAGGTTTATCTCATATAGTTTTATCATATACAG